AGATAGATAGATAGATAGATAGATAGATAGATAGATAGATAGATAGATAGATAGATAGATAGATAGATAGATAGATATGCACAAAAACGAAAGCACAAAAGGTATAAACACAGACAACGTCGTACCCGTCCCCCGTGGCTCACTGATCCAATAAATTGTTACAAGTTAACATACACCCATATGTGTTCTTGTGGGTGGTTGGCGGGTGCTCTTGTGTGGCTTGCTTCTTCTTTCCTATCAAACATCTATCGTCCTTATCTCCCCTTTTTCTTTTTTTTATGTTTGTTACTCTCTTCTAACACTTCTAATCTTCGGCACTTATATGACCTTATTGTGTTGCAAGTGCCGTATAACACTTACTTATCCTAAAACAGGTTTTCCCTATGACCAACATGTTTGTGTCTTCCAACAGGACTATTTTTCTGGTGGTATTGTTCTCTCAGTACCTTCGAAATGTCTCCATCCCCTGCCCCTGCCTAAGAGAAGGGAAGCTTGCTGTCTTCGCTCTCTTCCCTGTGAGTAACAGCCATAGATTTATGATAGAATTGTTGTAATTTCTTAGACTATGCACTCTGACATATTTCCGTTTAATATGGAAGGCACAATTTGACTCAATATCAGACGAAAAGAATTGAAAGGAGCGAACGGTTGACAGGTATTCTAATGTGGTTTTTTCCTTCTTTCCTATCAAAACATCAACCATCCTTACCTGTCCTCCTTCTTTTTTTGTGTGTTGTTACTCTCTTGTAACATCGCTATTTTCGATGGCTTAGTGATTAGGCTACCGGACCGTAATCGTGAGATTGCGGGTACGGGGGTTCGAGCCTCAGTTCGGTCCAACGTTGTATGCTTGGAAAGACACTTCACACGAGCTTCCCATTTGGCTCGGTCCTTTCGGAAATGGACGTTAAACTCATAGGTCCCACCTCAGAAGTAACCTGATAGTGTTGATAAGGGCGTTAAATCTATACCATTTCACCATTTTTCTCTAGTCTTCATTTATACGACTTTATTGTGTTTTAAGTGCCGTGAAATTCTTACTAAAATTAAAAGAAGGAAAGAGGGGGGGGGGGGGGG